GTGTGGTGGTGGGGAAGGGGGGGGGGGGGAGGGAAATAAAATTCAAAAAATCATGGAAGCGAAGGCACTCCAAACTATATAGATACACTATACATCGCTAGAGTTATTGTTACAATAATACAGGCCGGTACCTACTGTACAGAGTTAAAACTATATGGCTTTAAAAAGCTCGTCTACATTTTGTCTGATTATTAAACAGAATCACTGCCCTGAACGGTAACTTTTTGCTCATTAATAACAGTTCCTGGGTCCACATATTTACATACAAAACAATAAAACTCAGAATTCAAAAACAACCAAAAACAATAATGTACAAGCTTGAATTTGGTGAGGAGCTTTGTTTTTTTTTGTTGTTGGTTTTTTTGTGTTTTTTTTTTCTTCTTATTTACAAAAAAGGTTATTCAAAGACCTGGATCTAACTTGTATAAAAGAGTGTGTGATCCTGCCATGATCCTTGAAAAAAAGAAATAAAACCAGAGGGGCACCCCCGACCCTCCCCCCAGCCTAACACACACGCACAAGACACACACAGACGCCGGCACAGTCACAAAACCAGAGAGAAAAGCTCTGAACTCCCCTCTGCCAGTCTTAAACGAAAAGATAAAATGAAAAAGAAGAAAAGCCACATTTCCTGGCACAAGCAGCAATTTTTCTTCATTATTTTTATTACTTTTTTTTTTTTTTTTTAAAGACTCGGTAATTTACTGCCTCCGAATAACAGCGTCTGCGGCCAATGCTTCAGCGGTCTCGCCTATACAGCAGATCCATACCCTGCCACTGTCCTGCTTTTTGAGTCTCCTGCATCTATTTGGATCACTGGGTCAACCAAGCCCCTTCACTTACCTTTCGGGACACTGACTAGCCGAGCTCTCGCATTAAGATGCTCTTCAGCCCTTTCTAATAAGTTGCATGTAAGGATTTGGAAGCCTTCAGTTTCTAAACGTGGGTGCGCTTTCCTTTGCAGCCAGCCAGAATTTAACGACAGCTAAAAGCTTTAAAGCCTTTTGTTTTTTGTGTGCCCAACAGCAAATCGCCGAGGGGTATAACATGAGGGTTTATCGGTTTCACGGTAGGTGGTCACTCACCTCTTGAAACAGCTCCTGCCTCCCCAAAACCCGCCGTGTATCAGGCAGGAGGGAGAGGGCAGGGCTTGTATCACTTCCAGGGCTGCTAAGAGACGGTTTCCAAAAAAATCCCACGTCAACAGGATAAAAGGTACAAGCAGAAACACACTGAGCTCGTGAGCAAAACCCCTGCCGCCCCCGCGGCGGCCGAGCTTGCCGAAGCCCCTACTGCCGGCCACCCCCGGGGCTGCGCGAAGGTCCACGCGTTCCCGAAAAGCAACTGCTTGCCTTAGAAATCCGCAGGTCGAATAACAGCTCGATAAGCACCAAAGGCGACTACGGTTTCTCTGAAGGAAGATAAGGCCCAAGCGGACACCAACGCAAGCCTACGACAAGATCAGGTCTCCAAAAGTCTCGTTTCTAGGCCGCGGCTGCGTCCGGCTGCTCACCTGACCCTTTCCTGAGGGATATTGCTTTGACTTCAGGAAGAGAGACGTGGATGCTCGCACCACGCGCCGTCGCAGGGAGGAAACCCGGACCCTGAACAGATGGACTAGAACAAGCATTCACCTCGTGCTTCAGTCAGACTGTTTTGAGATTGTAGACAAAATAAAAAAAAGCAGTATTGTATCTATGTATACATGTATATATTTATATAATATATATACACACACACTCATATATAGCCAGCTTTCCTACAAGTCAGCAGGTACAAATTACTGTCGAGAGCACTCGGATGTGTATTTTATTAATATTCTACCAATGTAAAAACATAATGGCAACGTGGCAACACGCATCAATAAATAGAGATCAAAAAAAGCAAGAGGTTAAAAAAGATGAAATTAAATACAGATTCTAGCTGTGGATTTAAAATCAGAACTATCATAGAATGTGGCATCCTGCAAGTTAAAACTGCAGTTAAAAAAAAATATTACAAAATAAACCAGTAGACTGTTACAGTTCACATTATAAACCCTGGTGTCCTTTTCCTGTACGCACCTTGGGAAAGGGAAGCCTGTTCAAATCGAGAGC